CCAGTCTGCACAGGTGAAGTTTTCAATGTATTGACCCCAGTGTGTTAAGAGTTCAGGACTTGATGGGGAGGATCAGCCTTTGACTCAATTCTGACAAAATTGAGTGGCTGTGGATGCTTGGCGCTCCTTAACAGGGAACATTTCAGCCATTGGTCTTGGATGGGGTTGCCTCTTGGAGGTTTTCTTGGGCCTGCAACTACTGTCAATGAGCAAGTGGTAGCTCTGCGCAGATTCATCTTCTGCACCGCTTGCACCCTTCCCTTGGCTGGAAGGCCCTTAAGAAGGTCATTCATGCCCTAGTCACTTCATGAACGGATATTGCAATGTGCTCTACATGAAGACCCTCATGAAGCTACAGCTGTTCAAAAACCAGTGGTACAAGCAATAATGGTCACTTCTCTTTATGCCCATGTTACAGCTGTTGCACACTGACCTGGTTGCCAATTGGCTTCCAGGTACAGTTCAAGGTGCTGGTTGTTAACTATAAAGCCCTTTATGGCATACAGTTTGGTTATCTGAGGAACTATCTATCTCCCATTGCTTCTCCCCACCCACCACATTCAGGCAGAGTGTGCGCCCTCCAGGAATCCTCCATTGAAAGTCATCTGATTAGAGCAAGAAAGTCTGCCTTCTCTGCCCCATACTCCAAAACACCCATGGTCCCAGAGATAGGGACAGCACCCATTTTTCTGGGGTTCTGGAAAGCCCCTAAGGCCTGGCTCAGTTCCCAGGCTGGGGACAGTCTGTTGTTTTATTGGCACGGCTGTTTTCAATCCAGGCTGCCATGTCTTATTTCTTTTTAAAATTTTAATTGTATATTTGGATACTGTCAGTTGCCCAGAGTCTTCTGGGTGGACATAATAAATTTAAATAAATAAATAAATAAATAAATAAATAAATACATACATACATACATACATACATACATACATACATACATACATACATACATAAATAAATAAATAAATAAATAAATAAGGAATTAGTGGATAGAACATTTAGCTTATAATACGTAATTTATCTCAGTTAAAATGATGGCATTAAATGCCTCAGCCTACAAATTCCAAAGAGATAAAGGAAAATTATAAATTCTAGATTACCCAACCCAAAGCCACTGTAACAAATTCTCTTTGAAAGGGCTAATTAAAACATCACAACTTTGGAGCCTACATAACACTTCTGCCTTGAAGTTAGGTGAAACAAAAGGGGAAAGAAAGCTAAAATAGAAATCAAAATGTGCATGGAAGGCCAAATAAACTAGATCTAGTGTGTAAGGGTATGTATGCGTGTGTTGGTGATGAGTAGATATAGGAGAGCTTGAGAGAGAAGGAATGCTGCCATTTATGTTTGTCTGTGTGGTGTATGTTGTATGTGTGTGAGAAAAAAGAGGAATGGTTCTTGACTATATATTGTGCTACAGTATTTTTATGCATTTTTCCTTCATAGTATAATCCATTTTAAAACCATATTGTGATTTCTTTATAAAACATAGTTTGTTTCACTTCCACAAAGGGTATCTACAACATTTGTTTTCAGATCTCTGCTAGTTCCATTTGTTTTTTTGTTTTTGTTTTTTGTTTATTTGGGAGAACCAGCCCACTTTAGAATAACCTCTTCTGACATTAACAATGGCCACGTTGCTGCTTAGCAAATTTCGTGAACCACTGGACAAATGCAACTGGTAATACAGTTTAAGCAAGCCTCGCTGGGACAGTTATAATGAAGGTAAACTATGCTATTCTTTCCTGTCAGAGGTCCATCTAATTCATTTTGTTTCAAAGTATAAAGAAATTTTAGAATTAATCCGCTCCCTTTTTTTCCAAAACAAGATTAAAAGTGTTTATAAATTTATTCATATATCAGACATTTTGTAAATGATATGTTAGGAAAGCTCCCTTAACTTTTAAATCATATGTACAGTAAACAGATTTTACAGACTCAAATAGCATGGGTCAATTAAAATTTATCTTTTAGGTAAATTTACCTAAAATTTACCTTCCATTACCTTTTATTAATTTTTAGATCTAGTTCTAATTTTCTGCCCTTAATATAGAAGAATTATGGGTTGGATCTCAGTTTTCAAGGTGCAATTATCCCAAGCACCACTTTTTTTTTAAATTCCACAGCAATTTATACAGAGAAAATGTAACATTCCATCTTCAACATAGTGTACAATATTAAGAAATTCTTTTGTGCAGCCACCCCCCACAGTTTGATAAAAAAAATGATTTCATTCTCCTATTTGTTGTTTTGCTTAGTTGATAGATGCCCAATTATTATTTTTTATGCATACATATTCTGGAGAGATTGTTATTAGTCTGTCCAAAGGAAAATTCTAAGACTGGATAATGTGAAAACCTCCACTGATGGTCAACACTGGATGGGCATTGATTGGGCTCTTCAGCTGAAAACAGTATGTGAAGCTTGCTTTATTAGTCTCACTGCAAAGGAACATCATTCCCCCATAGATAAAATTGCCCCCCACCTTTTTACTTTTGCAAAAGGCCATGGTTCTGTCGGCGGGCTTGGGGACCCTGCCTTGATATAACAGAATAACAGAGTTGGAAGGGACTTTGGAGGTCTTCTGGTCCAACCCTTTGCTCAAGCAGGAAACCCTATACCATTTTCAGACAAATGGTTGTTCAATCATTTCTTAAAAACCTCCAATGTTGGAGCACCCAAGTTTAATTAACTGTTCTATCGGAAGTTTCTCCATAGTTCTAGGTTGGTTCTCTCCTTGATTAGTTTCCATCCATTGAATATGGATCCATCCACATGGAGCTGATCTATATGGAATTGATCAAGTGGCTTGTTTGTGTTTGTCAAAGCTGGGCAGGAGGAAGGAAGGTTGGGATTTTAAATTTTGGCTTTCAATTGCTGTACATCATGTTATATGTTGCCCAACTCGCTATCCAAGACATTCTGGGCAGCGTAAAATGCAGTAATCATAACAGTTATGAGAATGAAATGGTGCTTTTTACTTGTACCTCAGTCCTGATTCTGTTCTTTAAAAACATTTTTGTTATTTAAAGTGTGAATTCCTACTAATCCTATTGATTTAAAATTTCTGGACCTAACCACATATATTATATCACTGAATTGGGGGACATGAAGATAGCCTCCCCAAAGATTGTGCTACATTTGGCAGTCAGGCATCCCCTGGGCAACAGTGTTGTCACTGGCAAATTCTTTCAATCCAGAAACACTTTTTGGTTAGCTTTGTAGGTGCTTCCGACATGAATACAGACAGATCACTAGGTTGTACTATAGTTATATGCAGTGGTGGGATTCAGACGGTTTGCACCACTTCGGCAGAACCGGTAGCTAATTTTTTGTTGCCCAGGCCCAGAACGGACTTCCGGAAGTGGCATCCACAGAGAGAACCGGTTGTTCATATATTTGAATCCCACCACTGGTTATATGGTTATATCACTAGAACATATATTTTCTTTCAGGGGGCTGGTGGGCACATCAGGAATGCTGTGTTGTAGTTGCTCTTGGAAGACTGCTGCTTTACAGGCTTTCTTATTCACAAGAGGGCACTAGAAGATAAAAGCAGTACTGAGATCTCAGGTTCCCATAATATTTGTTTTAGATTGCTGTAAGAGCAACTAATACTCTGCAGGACATTCAAATGAATTTAGAATAGTGTTTTTTCTATATCTTCCTGGCTTGGAAAGCAACACTGTTATATTTGCTACTATTGCAAACTGTCATATTTATCAAGTAATTAATCACATTTGTACAGAATGGGATTTCATATATCATGATTCTCATAACAATTTGTTTGGCATTTATACAAAGGTATTCAGATTTAATTATATTTGATGAAATCAGAAAAAATGATTAAATTGAAAATAGTGTATGTGGGGGACAAATGTATAAGGAACTTGAACTTCCCTGATGTCTCATAATTTGATAAAAATAGAGGTGATGATAGAGAAGATCCCAAAATCTCTCCAGATGGCGAGAGATTTCTTAGACTATGTGCAGGAATCTTGCAAATCTTTACATAAAATTCTGTCAGCTGATGCACATGGGTATATAGTATGTACTTAATTAGTGCAGCAGTGACATTCACTATGCTTCAACCTAATTTTCGCTCTACTCTGCAAAGATGATAGTCTGAAACTGAAGTCGAATTAGAGTACTAACCACTGAAGAAATTCTGGTAGAGGAGTACTGGAAGGTGTACTTTCTCAACATTTTTTAAGAACAAGCCACACATCTGATCCATAAGCCCTGGCTTCTCAATAAACACAAAGCCTTGTGTTTCATAATGAATTATCCTTCTGAAAAAGCTAACATCACAAACAATCTGATTTAATAAGTTTCTGTGCAATGGTAATAAGAAAGCTTCCACATAAGGATAGCTATCTTTGAGATTACTCTAAGGTGCCCCCAGGTCTAGTATATGAGCTGGATTAGTACAAGGTTGGCCCTACCTGTATTCTTCATCCAAAATCCTCTTTGCTATCTAGGATAATTTAGGTCACTTTAAACTTGGTCCAGTCTTTGCTAGATCTTTTATTATGCTTGGACTATACATTGGTATGGTGCAATGTTCAGAGTAGAACTGAACTTAATTATTCCTCAATCACACAGCAAAAGAATGAAGGCTCCAAATCAGATAAGTTTTGCTTTAAAAATATCACACAGCTAAGACCAATCAGTGAAAGAGAGAAGTGGAAAGAGACATACTGGAAAAGCTGGCCATTGCGAAGTTCTGACACTGGTCCCCTGTGAATTCATTCGGACACCTAACGAAAGAAAGAAAACCAGAAAGAGAGAAACAGGATAGCATGATATCCAAACAGACTGAAATGAGGTCCTTTCTGATGCCAACTGAGTTCCCTTTTAAGATTTCTCCTGGTGTGTGTGTTTTTGGTTGGTCCCTTACCTGTGTTCCCTAAACCTTAATTAAAATATTAATTGAAAAGAACACCCTCACTATGCAACTTTAAGTAGTATGATGGTATAATTTTTGTCTTCAAACATACTTTGCTTAGGATCTGGCATGTACAATCGCAAAGGCAGTTTCTCCAAACATCTCTGTCCGAAGAATCCATTTGGACATCTGGAGGAGGAAAAGGGAACAAATCACAGAACAAGGCTGGCATCATCCTAGAGGCTACGGTTAGAAATAAAAGTGCACAGTGATGATTTTTGTTTCTTATTTTAAGCTTCTTATGTAAGACATTTTAATTTAATCTTTGCTGTTTTCCCTACGTCTTTCCATCTGCAATTATTCTCTCCACGATTACTGAGTTTATAAACCTTCTAAACACCCACAATTTGCAGAATCTGTTTCAGCTGTGTGACTTGAGAAAACTGCCACTCTCTCAAGTCTAAGATTAAAATGAACCTGATTTCCAGAAAGGAAGCAATGGAACATGAAGTAGCGTTCAATGTTCTTTCCATTTTCTTTAATTGAGGTCATCTGCAATGCACTCTTGGAACTGCCAGTTTTCCATTCACGTTGTTTAAATCTGGATTTCATATTGATATAATCAACTGACTAAGCAAAGTACATTATAGACAGATGGAAATATGTGAGGCTATCAGTGACACAGGAGACTTCCACATCGCCACCATTTTCACTTCCCAAACCCTTATAAGTAGTTTGAAGGTGATCTGTGATTATCTTCAAACTACTTATAATCTTATCATTTTTGCTAATTTAGAAACATGGAAAACAAGAAGCAAAAACTATTTCCCACCTATGATCTGCTTTAGATCCACCAGCAAAAACCACTCTCATGAAGTCACAGTTCAAACCCTGACTTTTTGTATCCCGAAGTCCGGTCTCATAACGCATATCTCTAGCTTGTACCTCTAGCTCCCTGAGGACACCAATTATGAAAAGAGAAGAGGTTACTCCAACAGGAGAAATGGGATCACAGCACATTAAAAATGGTGGGGGCGTGTACTGCTAGATTTCTAGCAATTTCAGCTACACTAAAGCTGAGCCAGAAATAAATTAGCTTAGCTTTCTAATGTTGTTGATACTGACAGAAGTGTAAAGTTCAATTTAAAGTGTACACAAAACTAATTGTATCTGACCAACCAACCAACAAAATCATAAATAAATAGTTGTAGAAGTGGCTAGGCCAAAAGTGAATGAATAAGAAGAGTTGTTTTTCTGAAAACTGAAGTACCATGCATTTTTCAGAGGACATCTCTTAAGACCTTGATATTCTTACCAAAGAGGAGGTCCCTTTTGGGGTTAAATTTTATGTCTAGGTAATCATGCATAGGATTATACTTGTAACACATTGAAATGCATTTTCTGGGTAAGTTGAAAAACTTTATACATATATTCTTAGTATATCAGGGGAAGAATGGGTGGCTTCATAAGCTATATTTTGAAACACAGGACTTACCCCTAAACCACTTTCACAATATATGATTTTATTTTCTACCAAATGAATGCAACAGATTTTAATGAAATAACCATTCCTTCATTTCTTCTATATGCTGCACAAATATTTCAGCAAACTATACTACAGACTGTTTCATTCAAGTTTATGATTTTATTACATCCACTCCACCCATTACATCCACTCCAGCAACAGGTATCTTAGGCTTTGGATCAACCAAATTAAAGTTTCTCCTGCGAACTCCTTTTCCACAAATTCTCAGGAAGACAGTGCTGCAGCGCAAACATTCCATCAAAAATATTGTTACACCAATGAGGCCCAAGGTATCACTGCCATTTGCTTTTGAAAGCAGCTTTTGGAAGGCTACTATTCAGATTTATATAAAATACAGATCCATCCTCTGTTTTACATGCGCTAAAGAAGATGAGCAAAATACAAACTAGCAAAAGCAATATACTCTTTTTCTTTATTTGCATACATATTTTTCCAATCATTCAATTCGTTAATAAGGTGAACTGGCAGAATGCTCTCACTTGAAGGAAAAAGCAAAATATGAATCTGGCCAAGTGGACCTATAATTCTTGTTCTGATTAAAGATTAGAATAAAAATAAGAAGGGGAATGGTGCAATATAGTATATTCAATTCTATGGAGTCTCAAACTCTTTTAAAAGGTATTATTGAACTGTTTTCCTTCAGGAGGAAGAGCAATATACAAATAAAAAATAACAAAAGCAACAACAATAATAATAATTTTCAAGAGCTTCATTCTGAAAGTTTATATTTTGAATCCTTACAGAAAACAATTGCTACGGCATGTGAGAAATGGCAAGAAAAAACTCAATTGTTAAAAACATGAGGATTGAGCTAAGCACCTACAGTATTTTAGTGAACAGCTGCTGAATAAATTGGACAGGATCTTAAAACTACCTGTTATTCTCCACTTTTGAAGACCTGTAAGAACTATCTTGAAAATTAGACTGAATAAAAAAGTAGATGATGCTAGTTCAAAAATCAGAACAGAGTGACAGGCACAACAAGGAATCAATTGTTTTTGTGATCTAGAAGAACCATCATAATGAATTCAGAAACATGCTTCTTTCCCACTTATTCTCAATAGCTACCTTTTTAAAACTTAAATTTAAAAATTAAAAAGGTTTGCTAACATCTGTTTCTTTTCTTTCTTTCCTTTGTTTCTTTTTTTTCCTCCAACTTAACCCCAATTCCCACTACAGCAAGCATTTTGGAGCAAAAACCTCAATCTCTTTTTAATTTTCTTTCTTTTCTTTTTCAATAAGCATGAATGTTTCCCTCTGTTTCTGGCATAGGCTCATATAATTATGGGCTGAGATTATTAGAACATATTGAATTTGTGTCAATGGGCTAAATATGAAGCAATTTGCTAAAAAGGAGAAAAAGCCTGAAATATAATTGTCAAATATCTGATACTCTATCAAATGCAAAATAATTCTATTATTCCAAGAGGTGACATTTAAGTTGTATTTTAAGAAAGAAAGGAAAAGGAAATTCTAGAAATCAAAAGAGTAGGATGGGAGAGAAAAGGAAAATTATATTGACAAAGGAAATGTGTGTTTCCTTAATAAGCCAAACACACTTGTGAAAACAGGACAGAGGTGTTAATTGTAGAATACTTAAGAGTCTTCAAATGGGGTTTTTTTTTAATCTAAAGAGGAAAGAATCTAGGGAAGATTTCAAGGTTTTTGAAGTAGCTAGTTACAGAAAGTAGTTCACAATTCTGGAAGTATTTGTACAAATCTACCCCAGTTCATACAGTACATTCCAGTTATGCAATCCTATATTAAAAATTTTCATGAAAATATCTTCTTTGGAGGCAGTTTTCAAAACCACTTAAAATGCCTCTTTTATAGAGATTCCACGATATATGGAGACATTTTACTGCTCTGATTAAATATTTTTAAGTATTTAAGTATATAAATTATTAAGTATATAAATAAATATATTCTTTCTTTGGAAGTATTTTCAAAAGAAAACACTTCAAAACAAAAAACCTCACTGACAACTTCATTTGAGCCTCTATTGCTTCCTTTCCTTTCTACTCTGAGGCATTCTCTGCTGACCTATGAGAACTCACATGGCAGACTTCCGGGAAGATGGCCGACTGGGTGGCATGACTGGGGAGAGATCTCTGAAGGATTTCTTCCTGGGATGCAGCTCTTCAACCTTTTAACTGAAGGAACTGGTATTCCTTCAGTTTTTAAGGTCCACCCGGTCAGTGTGGGTCAAAGAACTTTCCTTCGGAGCCCTCCAAAACAGCTGCAAGCCAGCAGACATCTTCTGGAGTCCGTCGGAAGCAATCCGCATGCCAAAAGCTGGGGGAGAGGGGCTGTAATCTGTTCGAGTTTGAAGAAGCCTGAAATCCACCTTTCAAATGGATAGAAAGTTGTGCCTTTCCCTTCTTAATCACCTTCAAAGACTATTATTCTTTTCAAGCCAAGTTAAAGAGGCTCTGCTGTGCCCTTTTGAAGACTCACGCCATTTTAGGGATTTCTCTTTGTCTTAAATAACAAGGGGCAGCTAAGACTGTTAAGGCAAGCCAAATAAGAAACTGTGGTGAAAAAGAAAAAAAAGCTGGCGGAGACATATAAAGAATGAAGGCTGTGATTTTAATTTAATATTGTATTAACTTGTAGCTTGGGTTTTCTCTGCCGTGGGTGGCAAAAAGTTTCTGATCCTGACTAAAAGTGGAAGCCAAGATGGATGAGCAGAGTATTAGAAATATTCTTGAAAAGTCTTTAAACAAAATTCCCCAATTTATTGACCAATTTGTTGACCAGCTGTGCTCTAAGTATGATAAAAAAAATCCTCTCAAATTACTGAGATGCAAACAGGTGGAGAATGCTATGATATTACCAAGGCAATTTCACAAATAGCTGTAACTTCACAAGTAGTTGAAAAGGTAGAAAATGCAGAGCAGTTTTGGAAGAACCTGATACTAACTTTCACTATTATGGTGTTAATATAAAACTCGCAACCCGAGAAAAAAAGAAAAATTTGGGACTTTCTCTTTAAGGACATTAACAAGGCTGAGGATTCCATGATAAAAACAAACTCCTGGGTAAAACGTCTAGATAAGAAAAAGATTTTATTTTATGAAGTTAAGCAGAAAGGAGTGACCTAAACTTAACGAGACAACTGGAAACAGGATGGACTTTTCTTTTTTCAATATGTGTAACTGAAAGAAAGGTTCAATTCAAAATTTGAAAATGTAACCTTTTACACACACACACACACACACACACATATACATGCTTAAGTAACTTTTAAAGTAGGGAAATGTTATTGAAAATCTATTTGAGAGTACTCATATTAAGAGAATTGGATCTAGGATGGATTTTTCTTTGTTTGATATTTGTAACCGAAAGTTTTAATCAAAAATTTGCAAATGATTTATGTGTGTGTGTGTGTGTATGCAATGCCTAAGTAATTTTTAAAGTATGTAAAATGTATTTGAAAATGTATTTGTGTTAAGAGAAAGCTAAAGAAAATAATGTACTAGTTTAAAGTAAACTTTGTGTTCTAAAAAGGATGTTTATAAAAGGAAGAAAAAAAATACTATTCTATAAGGATAGTTTGGAGGGTGGGAGCTAAATTCAATATTGAAATTCAAAGCCTGTATGTTAAGAAGCTAAAGAAAAAAAAATATTAGAAAGTTTTGATTTTAGAAAAGTACTTAAAGAAAGTTTAGTATTTTTCTTTTTTAAAAAGAAAAGTACTTTTTCCCCACCCCCCTATTTTTCTTTTTTAAAGGGGGGTGGGGAAAAAAGTACTTTTCCCAGTAAGGTCAAAGGATTTGAGAAAGTATACAGTTAACTTTGTTAATAGAAATGGTGATAGTTTACAAAGATTAGTAGGGGCAAATAGAAACATATACTATTTCCACAGCAAGGTAAAGCAGGAATGGTTTAAATTGATCATTCCATTTAAAGAGGAGAATATACGGTACTTGAGTATGTTTTTCATTTGGATACCACTTCTGGATTTTGTGCTTGTGATTAAAAAAAATTGAATTTGGTTTTGTTGATTAGATAGATTTGCTGTTATAGAAATGGATAGTTACATAATAATGTGTAAAAACAAAAAGCTGAGGCTAGAGCGCTTTTACTTTGTACTGTGCTAAAAAGAGTCGGATGTCAAGACCTTTTTTTTTCTTTTCCCTTGTACCTCACACCTTCTCTTCCCCTTTTCTTTTCTCTCCCTTAATCTCCTATTTCTATTTTTTCTTTGTATTTTCTATTTTATATGTTAAATAAAAAAAATTAAAAAAAGAACTCACATGGCAGAATGATATGGAACCAAAGCAAATCCTCACAGACAAACCTACCCATAAGCCACAGTGCATGTTCCATATGAAGCAAATTTTGCTCTGAATTTTAGAGATGGATAATGAAAGCTTTATTGATTCCTTTGGCAGGCTCCAGAATCAAAACAAAACAAAAGTTAATTGAATAGATAATGGAATACATTTGTATTATAAAACCAACCAAGTTGTATGTCTTTCATAAATCTCACTGAAAGCAATGAATAAAACAATATTATTTTTAAAAATACATGCAAATATTAATATTTGTGGTGTTCCAAATGTCCTTTCTTCCTTGTGGTGGGAGGTTAGAACTTCAGAAGATTACTTATCTTTTTTTATCAAAGAGAATGCTGGAATCTGATAACATTTTTCATAACAACTTATTATAAATATGCAAGTGAATAGAAAAACAATTTCTCTCAAAAACAACCTCAGTCCCAACAAAATAAATGTGCACCCTCTGCTGTTCTAAAATCCTATAAATCCCATGCTGACATAAAGTAATACATTTATAATACAACTATATAAGTAGAGAAGACAAGGAAAATGAAATGAAATGGGTGGATCAAAAATAGGATCAAGCATTCTTTGACCCAATTATATTAAAATAAATTAGTATTGTTAACACTGAATTATAAACATTCAGCAAATTGCTTTCAGGCACATCTTCACACTTCCATTAAAGTTTTTCGTATTTTCATGCTTGTGTCAATTTGGAAAACTTTTCCTTCATTTCAGGGAATGGTTCTACTCCAGTAGAGACTGTGAATGAAAAAGCCACTCAAACTCTGTGGAGCCACCTAAAGGAAATAGCATGTATGTAACAACTGGGTAAATTAATGGTATCATCAGATTATGAGAAGAAATTCACTCTAAAATTGCAGGAGTCAATCAGTTTTCTCCAAAAAGTCCAGCAGGGTTACCTGGAGATTATGAGAGCTGAAAATCAAATTTACCTGCTGTAAGTTTACCACTATCAAATTAGTGGTTCTGGAAAGAGGATAACAGCTTGTAAAAAAAATGTTTTGGAAAAATAGTTCTGTTTAGTTCTATTCCATTTCTACTCACTAGCTGATCCTCGACCTAGGACATCATTTCACATAATGTTGATCTTTAACTTATTTAAACTGTTTATTTTAATATTTAATATTTTAATGTCTTAGCTGCCCAGAGTCACTCATCAGAGAGATCTACCCTGCATTATTTAATGGCATGTCCTAGCTAATTATACATCATATAGTAAAATGATGATTTCTTAGTATAACACTCCAAGTTAATGATCAATTGAGGGAAGAACAATAACTATGGCATCAGTCAAACATATCAATCAAGAGTGACTTCACAATATTAAATATTTTTTTTAAAACTGCAATCTTCAATGATTACATTTAAATGTGACTAAGAGGCTACCTGTCTGTGCCTGTGGCTCAGTTAGAACTTCACCTTGATTCTTTTTATTGAATTCCTTTGAGTTGAATGAATTTCATGTCATAATGCTAGATCAGAACTTTAAAAGCTCCTCAGAAAGCATTCACAATCCTTTACAATTCTTGTTGGATATCTTCAAAACTTTCCAAGCATTTTTGATATCTCTATGGTCTTCTACAATTTTTGGCAGGACATTGTTATCAAACAATATGGAAACCTGTTTTTGGTTAATCTTTTGTATCTCTCATTTTAGAGTGTTTGAGGAAATTTTTAATATCATAATTTCTCCTATCAAAGTATATCAAATATTCTCCCCTTTTTCTTTATACTGTATCAAGCCCATCTTCTCCCATACAGGAACACCGTTAAAAAAGGATTTAATATGAGATTACATTCAAGAAACCTTTAAAAACTGGTTGACCATAAAAATCATTTCTTAATTTGCGCCATGACTTTTAGCATTTCAGAGAAGCATAAGAACTAGCCAATTTACTAATATTGCCATTAAAAAGTTGTTGAAAATACTAAGTTTGTGTGTAATATTAGCCTTCTAGGCAGATTTGCAATAATTGGCACATCAATTAATTGTGGGGGTAAGAAAATAAAAAGAAGTAAAGCTAGACAATTTGACAAAATGATATAATGAGGCAGAGAAAAAACAATTTGAAATTTTACAGCAAGGTTGCAGAAAAGAATTTCCATTCATTGGTTTAAAATAGCTATTTATTTATATGTCATTTTTTTCTTATTCTAACTCAATTTAAAGAAAGTGAAAGAGGACAGCATTATCCTTTACAACGATCTGATCCAAAATGCACTGTGACATTATTTGGCAATAATCTTAGTAAAAGAGGTACATATAATTGATATCAGAAATGCAGCATCAATCAGAAGACAAATCCTGATAAATGACCAGCCAGAAAAATATAATCTCCAAATGATTCACTATGCAACTTTATTCAAGCTTACTTGGAAATAAATTTTAGGTTCTACTCCTAGGAAGACTTACAGAGGATCTCAGCATCACTCTCCATAGATTTTTACTTGACCATCTCTCTATAAGCCAGCTAGGAACACCAACCATAATTGCTGTTAGAACCTTCAGCATCAGAAAATTGCAACAAAGTGTATCCTGAATCCTATTGGTACACCCACTTTTCAAACATATTATGGGAAGAAATGCCAGCTTTCAGTTACTGCCTTTAGTTACTGCTTTCAGTTACATTAGATGCATTTAAGGAGAAATTTAGAGAACGAAGTCTTTCATTCTTTTCCTATATAACTTGAGGTTATTATGTTTCTCGTTTTCCCTCCAGTTTTATTTCATAATTATTAATGTTAACTATAGATAAATAAAAGTAGAAATAAAAGAAACCAATGTCTTTTGCTGATTCTTTTATTGTGCTATTGTGTTATTTTGATTATGACAGTGACTCAGCTACCGAATTTGGACTGCAAAAATATAGCTTGCCAATAAATGGCAGAAAAGAGTGAGGACTTTCTGTGCAGTATTTCTCTGCTTCCATCTAGTGCCCATCCAAATTTTACAGTCCAAAAATTTGGGCTGAACTATGGAATGGGATTGATCTATGAATAATCAAGGTGTTTTGGGGTTTTTTTTGTTAGAAGGTTGATGCTATAGGCCAATGGTGGCGAACCTATGGCATGCGTGCCAGAGGTGGCACTCGGAGCCCTCTCTGTGGGCACGCGTGCTGTTGCCCCAGCCCCGCCTCCCCCTGCAACCCCCTCCTCACCAGCAGCCTGGCCGAAGGAGAGTCTCCCCCATGGGGAGCAGCCCATAGGGAGCAGCGCAGCCCATGGGGAGCAGCGCAGCCAAGCACATGGCAGCCGGGCAGCAGGGGCAAGATTCCGCACTCACGCCCCATCATGTGCAGATGATGCTGCGGGGTGTGGGTGGAGGGCATGGCTGCCATGGTGCTGCAAGGTCGCTTGGGTGATCTGTGGTGAGTGGCCATGTGGGTGGGCGGAGTGGGGGTGGAGCAGGAAGCAGAGCAGGGGGCGGGCCAGGGGAGCGGGGCGGTTTTGGGGCACTCGGTCTCTAAAAGGTTTGCCATCACTACTATAGGCAACTAGGTTGTAGAGGAAAGGGAAACAGTCCACCCTTGAGTTGGAGAAAGAATGTGGAGATGGGGGAGAAAGTAAGGCATTGTTTTTAATGATCTACTACAACAAATGGATTGAGAAAGAAACTTTCTATAGCATTGATCTAAACAAAGCTGAAAGTAATGGAAACAGTAGCCATGTCATTACAGCCAGTGTCTCTTCTTCTTAACTAATCTTATCGCCAAATACCCACCAATACAACATTGCCCTTTTGTATATAACTTCTATTGAATTGCAAAGGTACCTTTGAATTGGGGAAAAGAAACATTTTCTCTTACCTGCATGACAGCTGATTTATGCCTTCAATATAATAACACACTCCACCATTCACACAATAGGATTTCACGGTTTCATTGCATTGTCTAGTATGTCCAGGCCCAGAAGGCAGAGTTGTGGTTACTGCAAGGAAAAGGAGATGCATTACATCATTATTTTGCATTTTGATTTCTTAAGTATGCTACATTTCATTTATTTACTTCTGTTAATGTAGGAATTTATAGTTTGCTCTTCAACAATTTTTAGGCCATCTTACAAGGATTCCAAAAAATATAATACAGTACAAATGAAAAGAAATAAAAATCCACTCTTTTCTAAAAAATCAACAAGATAAAATTGGATTGAAAACCTGAAATCTCTTTGGTATTGACATTTTATCCAAGTAATCAAGGCACTATTTCAAGAACATTCTCCTTTTTTTCCCCAAGAAGAATTCAGAGATAGACTATGACCTACAACAACATTTGAAGGACATAGGAATGCTTAACCTTGAGAAAATATGACATAATTGAAAAGATGTTATAAATACAAGTAATTCCTGTTCTCTTTGCCTAACTCTTTCCATGCAAGATATGGAATAATAGACGCAAGTTAACAGGACAGCAGAGCCCCACTGAATGTCAGGGGGGGGGGAATCCTATTTATAACACTAGTTGATAGTGAGCCCTATCATCCCAATAGTTGGAGGTCCTCTCTTCATTGGAAATGTTCAGGTAGAAGTTAGGGGGCCATCATTCTGGGATTCTTGAATTTGGATTCCTGCTTTAGAGCTTAAACCGGTGATGGTGAACCTATCACACACATGTCATAAGTGACACACCATGTCATTTTTGGTGACATGCCAGCACGTCCTATTCTTGCTTAGATTTCTGCACATCCCGTTTTTGCTTTTCTGAGGGTTTCTGCTGCTGCAGTGGCTACATGATAATGTGGTGTGTGTTCTAATGTGTCCTATGAAACCTCTGAAAGTCATATGAGGGAGGCCTGCTCTCAGAAGGCCTCTGGACCTCCAAAAATTGTGCGAGAAACGGGCACACCTTCTTACTCTTTTTGAAGGCTGCAAGGCCACACAAGAGCATTCTCTGAAGTTTCTAGAGTGAAGGCCTCATGTCTAAATTGTCCCTTCCAATTCTGTTATTCTATTCTTCTCTCACACCTACACCACAGACACATCAAACTACAATTCTGTAATAGCAACTTGGGTTGCTATAAGGAGGTGATCAAAGGGGATTTAAAAAAATAAATTAAGCCACCGTGACAGAATAACTCCATTTAGTTTGGAAGACATATCAGGAAATCAGTCTGTTCATAAAGACCAGACATGTCTAACTCGTGATGTATCGGGACGGTTTTGCCATTGCCAGCAATGGGGTGGGGGTGGCTTCTGTGTGACGCATCCGGCCCGTGGGCTGACAGTTTGATATCCCTGATATAGACCAAAGGCAATTCAAGGAGATTTCTGTTAAGAGACTTGGGAAATTCCCTGGCATTGGCATCAAGTGAACATCTCATCTGTAAATGGCAGAACCAGAAAGGATCATATAATGTAAGCTGTCTCACACATTGCATATTGTGTAGAATTTGTGGTGGACAGCATTTCCAGAGGGACAATGAACTGAAAAAATAATAAATAGACATTTTAGACAAAATTGTCTTATTTAATAGTGATTGACCTCAAACATTTGTATTGATGCCAATATTTGACAGAGAAATATGCTAAGGTTTTGAAGAAAAGGAAAATGTCATCTGATGTTATTTGCCACTGAATAGTCATGAAACCGCCCTGAGTCCGGTGAGGAGAAGGGCGGGGTATAAATTAAATTATTATTATTATTATTATTAAACATAAACATTAAATAGATTTAAAAATTTAGATTAGAAAACATAATAAAAAATCTGCAGAGAAGAAAGTTCATTTTTTTCTAGATTATATTCAGATAGAGTTGGTAAGAAGACATTTTAGAAATCCGTTCATGATTTGACTATGTAAAAGCTATGCTATACTCAGCTATTTTTTGTTTTAGCATGTGGGATGTTTTTATTTTAGTAAAAAGAGGGAAGGCACTTTTCCCTTCAAATAAATATCTGCATCAGAGAACCAGGAGTCAAATATTCAAGGGAAGTTTGACAATATAATTCAAAAATTCTATTTTTTATAGTGATGTTATTTAGGAAACAAAAACAAACAAACTATTCTTTGGACCTTTCATTCCTGATTTTTTTTTCTTTAGAATCTTCTTGTAATCCATAGTATTTTGAAAGTTCTCCTTGTGATAGGTTGACATTTTCCTGATTTGTAGCAGAACAGCACACCTTGTCTAGAGCTGGATTTTCTTGAGTTTTGTTGTTGCACTTCTTATATCATTATGATCTGGATAGCTCTATAATTATATTTTCCTTTTGAATGTCTAAATTTTAATAGTTTAAATGGGTATACTTGTTTTTTAATAATAAAGTTTGATCTTGTTTGATCTCTCCTATGGGGAGGAGATTGTCCAACTTCCTATTTGGTGGTGGATGGGTAAAAGGGCAAAAACTTTTAATCACCACACTTCTATACTACATAGTCCAGAGATAGCACTATCAACATTATTTTGATATTTGTATTTTGACCTTTTAATCCCTAGAAAAATAGCAAGGGGTAAGAGAAATGTGTTTCTCTTGCACTGTTACAGAAATAAACGCCAAGCGAGGCATGGCTTGGAGGATAGTTGCTACCAATCTTCTACCCCAAAGGTGGGTGACTGGTGGGATAAGCCCAGGTTGTGAAAGCTCAAGAGGGATTCTGAGATAGAAGAATTGGGTACTGCTACATATAGATTTAATTGTGATCACAATTTCTTGAACAAAAGAGGTAAAGAGAGTTATGGACCTGATCCTGTGATAGCTATCATTATGGGCATCATCTCTCCCTGCCTCTCTCCCTCCCTCCCTCTCACACACACATACACAGAGGAAGGCAGGCAGACACACAGACAACCCAGCATTGGAAAAGCTGCTTTGGAAAAAGAATGGGCACCCTCTATAGCAGGGGTCTTCAAACTTGGCCCTTTTAAGACTTGTGGACTTCAACTCCCAGAATTCCTCAGCCAGCCAAGTCATAAAAGGGTCAAGTTTGAAGACCCCTGCTCTATAGCTTGGCTTCTCCTTAAAGAAGCCTTTCTGGATGTGCAGTTCATGAAAATATAAGTTTCAGTTAAAAAGGTATTGAGGTGGCAACAGGATGGTGGCAGCAAAGGAGGCGGAAGTCAATATAGCAATTAATACAGGGTGGTCACTGGAATTAACACAAAGCCATCACTGACAGTCAGTGGTATCATTCATAGATTTAGACTATAGTAATTGACTAATTCCCTTTAAAGCTATCTAAATTATTGTCCTCAGCACATTCTATGGCAGTGGTGGCGAACCTATGGCATGTGTGCCAGAGGGGGCACTCGGAGCCCTCTCTGTGGGCACGCGTGCCATCGCCCCAGCCCCGCCTCCCCCTGTGGCCCCCTCCTCACTAGCAGCCTCCCTGGAGGAGAATCGCCCCTGGTTGCGGCCCACACGGAGCAGCGGGTAGCAGGGACACAACTCTGCCCTCGCACCCCATAGCATGCAGATGATGCTGCGGGGTGTGGGCGGAGGGCGTGGCTGCCATGGTGCTGCAGGGCTGCCTGGGTGATCTGCTGCGGGCCATGGAAGCGGTGCGTGTCCCTGCAGGTGGGTGGGACAGGGGACGGGTGGGGGCAGAGCAGGCAGGGTGGAAGGCGGAGCGGGGCGGTTTTTGGGCACTCGGTCTCTAAGAGGTTCGCCATCACTGTTCTATAGCATAACTTTTCTTTAAACACTTTCTCCAAATTATGCATTATTCTAGATAACATTTGTCATGTTTCCCCTCACTCACTGTTTACTGAACTTAAAGGGTGGAAAGTTTAAGCTTTCTTCAGCATCCAGATAATTTTGATTGGCTTGTTCTGACACTATTCATTTTTCACATGTTTGTTTTAAAACATGTAAAATTGAAGCCTCCAAGGAGAATAGCTCAGTGATAAGACTTATCCTTAAGGAGAAATATTTGCAGTGCAGTTTACATTGCTATTTCCTATCATTACCCATCCCACTACACTGGGAAATAAACCTTGTATTTTCTGCATCTGGATTGGACAAATTAGCAACTATTAAATCAGTTAAATTAAGAACTGGTGATTTCATTTATTACCCAGATTAAATAATATGTTCTGCTGCTCCACACTTCAGTATTTTCTCAGTGCCAAATGTTTGGATATTTTGCATCCACATATCTCAATGGCTTTCATAATTCATAACCATTTTTTAAAAAAAACTATATTATGTATAATTTATGAATTATTGAATATTCATTTCATTATTATCACCATTATCTAGAATTAAATTTTGATTAGAAAATAGACTGACTTGATTTACAATATTGCACAGTACATTGCAAATTATGCAAAGCACAAAACAAATTTATACTCTCCACTTTCAAAATATATAGATTATTTTCATAATAATTTTGGTATTTATCATGCAAAAATGTAATATTTACACTCAAAGTTATTCTGAAATCTGAGTTGCACAGCTTCAGAATATTTTTTTTTTTTTTACCAGAAAGCTATGTATCATTAAGCTCTGTTTCTGTCTTGCATTGTCTTCTCTAAGGTCTAAGTGTTAAGCCATGGGGAGTATCGTGGAAGATGACAAAGTTAAAAGTGCAAAAGGCAAAGGCAAGGCTGAAGAGATGGAACATTAAGGATGCCAATATCAATGAAAAGATTTGAGCAGCACAGGCCTATGTACTGACAGAGAAATAAATGACTTTGGCAGTAAAGTAAAATACCAATATCCATATTAGGGCAAAATCTTATTTTCCAGGCCTCTTCATCAAGCTTGATGGTATGCAAAGCAATCAGCAAGAAAAACCAGATAGAGGTGGAGGCCAATGAAGTATTTCTATAGAAAAGTCAGAAAAAGGGTCATAGCAAGATCTGAATGTTACTCCTTTTTTACAGTTACAGCTCAGCTGACATATTAAACAATGCTACCTCTGATTCAGATGGTAGCCTAAAGATATCAAAGCCAATAGTCTTACTGTTCTGTTTTGTTCGCAAAGGCATTGAGATGAGGCAAAGAAATAAAACAGTCTTCTCTTTATTTTCTCCAACAGAACCAAAACAAAATGGCGCGGATTGTTCTTATACCCCCTTACAGGGACAATAACAGCCAATCAATGCAAGGCATTTCTCCCGCCTTGCGCATGCACACAAGGCAGGAGACAGCCTGTCTGGTCCTGGGCATTCACGTGTCTGCCCGGGCTTTTCTGCAGCCTCCTGCACCTGCTGAATGACTCAGCAGACCCAGGACATAACACTTAACCTCCATGAATTTATCTAGTCCCCTTTTTAAAACATCACATTGGCCCTGCAACATGAGATGATAATGCCTTCTGTAGTCTGTAGTGGTGTATTACGTGAAATATTCTTTTGTTGGTGGCAAGTCTCTCTGCACTTAGTTTCATTGGATTACTTTGATTTAAAATACAAAGAAAAAATCATCTACATTCCTCTTAGTGTCAGCGGAAGGAGTGCTCTTCTTAATGGCTATATAGAATGAAGCAAGAAGGAAAGTATTATTGCTATTACTGCTATGGTCCTAAAGTACATAGATGTCTGCAGCTAGCTATAATGATGGAAAAATGACTATACACCCATGGCGATGTATTGATACAAACTTTGGATTTATATACTTCTGTCCTGACATCATCACAAATTAAAATGTTCAGTTTTTGTTGTGTGACATTGTGGGACGCATTTTATCATGTATCAGCTTTGGCCATCCCTCACAAACACCCATGGCAACGGGGATAGTTGGTATGGGACAAACTGCAGCTCAAATTATGGTATAGATCTGTATGAAAAAAGGAGTATGAAATTAGAAAACTATGGAGAGGATCAAAATACTGCCAAAGAAGGAAATATCAACTATATTGATCCTGAAAATCACTATGTTGTATTTTTTGGGTTGGGGAGAGGGATATTTTTTTCAGTTGCTTGCCTTTTGAGTGTATGGTCAATACAGATACATGCACTGAGCAAAAATCCAGAGGAACCCCTACAAAGAATGTTGCAATAGCATTTTTCTAGTAGAATGAGCTATTTGAAAAGAACAAATGAAGACTCAACAGATGAATAGAACATGCTTGTTCTAGGTCTCTTCATTAAAATTACATGGTTTTGTGGGACCTCAGAGATGTACCTTTATGGATGCCCTTGTTCTGTAGCATAGTATCTTTCCTGAAGTGCATATTATCATTAGGAAAAGCCCTTCAAAGACAGCTCTTTCAAAGGATACCCTATCACCCTACAATAATATTGGGATTTAATCTTTGGTCTTTGGTGTTCTTTTCCAATAATATTAGGAAGGAGGTGTTGGTTATTTTTTCTTAGTCTTTTTTCACTTTAAATTATGTAAATATATGTAGACTGCCTGGAATCACTTGTACACTTGTAACAACTTACAGGTTGAACAAATAGAGTTTCTCAAACTTAAAAAGATAAAGGAATCAAAAAGGGCACAAGAATCAACTTCAGCACAAAGGTCAAAGATTGGAGGACAATATCCAGTAATATATACCAGAAGTTAAGATAGTTATTTAAATATAAAAGGAGAGAAAGAGTTCCAACTGTAGAGTCCATTCAAAAGAAGATGATACAAAGGAAGGCTTAAGGAAAGACAAAAGTGTTGTTGAAAGAGAAGAACAGCAGACTTTCCCAAGATGGCTACCTGCCTCGTTCTTTGACGAGGACTGGAAGGAAGGGAAGAAACTATGTACTTTGTTATTTGATTATAAGGTACATCTCTCCAGAATGCTGTCTAGCACTGATACTAGGATACTAATTTTGTTTGGTTTTATGTGTCCCAAAATGAACATGACATTCAAATAATATATAAATAGTATGGATGAATAAGAGCAGAAACCGTGCAGAGTCACCCTACTTGCATTCCTAACAAGCCTAGAACTACAGTATCAAAATTAACCACTTCATGAAAAGGGAATTTTGAGAATTAAAACAACATTTTGTTGTAGAAATCTTGCAAAAACACTCATGAAAGATGCAAACCCAAGAGAAAGCTAAAATAATTTAAGTATTGTATTATTGCATCATAGCAAATAATGGAGATCTTTACAGCACTATTCAGTTAAATACCTGGCTCACAGCAAATTCCTACATGCACTTCCATACAAGTTGCATTTGATTCAATAAGACTTCTTCTTGAGTAGACATGCAATGTAGTTGCAATCCTATTTCCGAGGAAGTACCACTCTATGAACTGGGACTTACTTCTGAGAACACAGAATTGGGATTCAAAATGCACAGAATTTGTGGGAAAGATAACAAACAAACGCAAAATGGACAACTACACTTTGTTTTTTTCACCTGCATCCAATAGCATTATCTGTAGTCAAGTGTTGTTATAGTTAGCATTATTTAATCTAAAATAAAACAGCAAGTTCACAGTGGACATATACTGCTCAAAAAAATAAAGGGAACATTTTACCATGGAACTGAAGGGGTTTGCGTTCCCTTTATTTTTGTGAGCAGTATATTTACTACAACATTTTAATGTGTTATAAAAATTTGTAGACCCTTTGAAATTGTGAATAAGGATTAGTAGCTAGCTGAATCAAAATGCAGCTTCAATATGAAAGATCCTTTAATCAAATTGACATCACAGCTATCTTTTTTCATGAAAACTCAACTAACACACCTATACACATATACCCTCAAGGCATCTTATATGTGGTTCTTCTTCTCCCACCAATTGTAAACGCCAGTTGAAACTAAATATATCATTTTGATTCAATATTATAACTTACCACTCCTGACTATAAGACTGCCTGTGGCAATGTCTGTTCCCAGGACATTCTCAGCTTCACAACTGTATTCCCCAGTATCTTCAACTTTCACTTTACTGAACTGAAGTCTAGATATTTTCCTGGGGGAAAAAAGAAAGAAAGAAAGGCTTGGTTATTACACTACTTTAATAATGACATTAGGTGGAGTTAAAGATTACCTTAAGTAGCCTTTTACCAAAATTAAATACATTGTCTAGTGAAGATTTTAAAGGAAAATTATAGGGTTTTACT